CCATGACTATTATCTGATTATTCAGTATATATTGAGAGTGCAAACAACTGAGCAAAAGTACTCAATATCTGACTAGCCTTTTGTCCACAGCCGTAGCTTGTATCAGCTCCAGCCAAATGCACGACGAAGCAATGGTGATGGTGGCTTTACTCAATATTGCTGTAGCTGTATGTGAAAAAGCAAAGTTTATCGGGCCAACAAGGTGTCGCTACCAGAGGTCGAAACGGGGCGGATTTTTCACTCCCCGCCCTGCCCCGTCGAAATTTTTCTCCACCCGACCCCGTCCCGCCCCGCTTCTTATTTTTTTTGCCTCCCCGCCCCCGTCCCGCCCCGCTCCTTATTTTTTTGCCTCCCCACCCCCGTCCCGCCCCGCCAAAATCTTTCCCCGCCTCGCCTCGCCCCGCTCTTTATTTCATTTTGTTTCCTCGTCCCCGCCCCGCCTCGACTTTCCTCGACCCTTCCTTCAATTTTTTCAGTTTTTTATTAAGTTAATTTAAAAAGTTTGTGTTTGTTGATCTTATGATTTATTTGACAAAATATTGCAGCAAAGATTCACAAGAATATGAGAGCACAAAAAAAGAGAATAATACAAAAAAATATAGGTACAATAACATAGTGTTACACAAAAATAATTACACAACAATAAGAAGTAGCATGAGCAGAAAAAAGATGTAGCTACAGATTAATCAATTGTTCTTCTTGCTATTCTCTATTGAACGAAGAAACAGTATATTGTTAACAGTTGTTGGATCTAAATTAGATCTTCTTTGATTAACAATTTGGCCCGCGGCCGAAAACTCTCTCTCCACTGCAGCCGAACTGCACGGGATCGAGAAAATCCGACGTGCTAATTTAGATAGATTTGGAAAAATACTCTCATATTCTTTCCAAAATGTTAATGGATTAGTATAATTTTTCTCTTTATCAACTTTGAATTCAATATAAATATCAAGTTCATCTTTTGTTGCTATCTTTGTCGTTGTAGGTTTTGTTTTAATCATTTCATCATCCATCAATTGTTCGAGAAAATGTTTTGACTTTTTTTTTTGGTGGTTCATATTCAGTATCGAATGTTGTTGTAACACTCTCTTTCGGTAACAATGCACGACAGGCATGATAACATTCGGCTTTTTGAGCTGCTGTTGCTGATAACAATCCTTTGAATTTTGGATGAAGGAACGATGCAAGTATATATTCATCTTCCATATGAAACATGGAATTCAGTAAAGACAATGAACGTTTGGCAAAAAATTTCATGCCTATATTTTATGAAATACTCGTTTTAACTGAAAAGAAAAATAGATTTCTTGTTTTCTGCTTACCAGGTTTATCGCCCCTTTCGAATTTACGTAATTCATCTTGCAGATAATTAATACATGGGAATACAACATGTAGCGATGGCATGTTTCCGGTTTGCACCTCTTTTACAACGTTCTGCCAAGGTCTGAAGAAATCGATTAGCTGCTCGATTATTCCCATATTAATTTTTTCAAGTCGATGCAATTGTTTAGATTCAGTTAATATTCTTTTTAAAGGTTCATAAGATTTTTTTATACTATCAAGTAAGTCGCACATGGATAACCAACGAATTGTTGAACATTGATGAATAGTTGTAAATGGTGAATGTTGTTGTTCATTTTCATGATCTAATTCATCTAATAATTGTATCTGTCTGTTTAAATTACTCTGAAATGAGAGAAATATTAAAATTAATTAAGATTTTATTGAAAAAAATTTCTACTTTTTTAATATATTGTACAAGTATTTTGCATTGTTGTATTGTCTCTAGTATTTCACGAGCACTCCATGGAATATTAGTTAAACTTACTATAGAATAATCAATTACATCATCATCATCATCCTCTTCTTCTTTATTCCACTGCTCAAGTGCAGCTTTTTCTTCTTCATCATATTGTTCATCATTGAAAGCAATTTCTGGAGATAGTTGTGGAAGATATGCTGTTATTTTTGTTGGTGTGGTATCACTTGAAATAATTGATGTTGTTTTCATTGGTGACTTTTTTTCTGCCACCGAAATTTGAAAAAATGTCTTCTTTAAAATGCCATTCAAGCGGTGTGCAACACAAAACATTAATCGAAATTCATGTAAACCTTTAATAAAATTTGAACCTCGATCGGTAACGAATGTTATCAAATCCATAAATGAGTCAATTGTATATATTGAAAGTTGTTCACGAATTAACTGAAACAGCAATAGAGAATGCATAAGAAAAACATTAACCTAGTTGTTTACCTTTACTATATTATCACCGGTTTTTTTGTTCTTAAACTCAATACAAAATAAATCAATTGAATAATATTTATAATTGTCGTCTACCATGTGAGCTGTAGCACCTAAGTAAGCTATCTTTCGATAATTATCAGTCCAAATATCTGGACTGATAGAAAGACGGCCTGATTGTGCACAATTAACTAGTAAATCTTGTAATTCTGTTCGTTCAGTATTTGCTTGTTTGAATAATTCATTTCGAACAGTGCGATCACTACATAATAATTCTTGTGCTTGAAGTTTTTCCAAATGCAATTCACGACCTTAACAAAAAATAAAGAAAACAAAAGAAAAAGAAGAACCTTACCGATATCTAAACATTCTTGAATAATATCTATCAAACCTGAATCAGACACAATTTGAAATGGTCTGATTCCAGTTACAATCCAACGAACAAATAATCGTTTAATATTCTCTTTCTTTTGTTTGATTGTTTTTGATACAATTGTTGAACGTGAAGGTGATGACGATGGTGAAATAAAATAATTGAGCTGTTTTTGTCCTTTTAAATTTTCTTGTGGACATTTATGTTCACGCATACTACTTGTTGTCGCATTTGTAAATCTATATCTTTGCAAACATTTAAAACAAGATGTAAAATTTGGTATAATATCATGTTTATCCGAATTTTGATCATGTTTATCTAAATTTTGATCATGTTTATCCGAATTTTGATCATGTTTATCTGAATTTTGATCATGTTTATCCGAATTTTGATCATGTTTATCTGAATTTTGATCATGTTTATCTGATTTTTGATCACGTTTTCGGGCAGGAAAACCAAACTTTTGCCAAATATCACTTGATAAATTTCTATTATTTTCTACAACGAAGTATTCGTTGCTCTGGTTTTTCAACAGATTAGTTATTGCTTTGGAATTATTTAAATCAACATTTGATTTTTTTTAACTGATGTATCAATTAATGATTTCCGTGAAGGTGAAGATGATGATACCAAAACCAAATCACAATCATCGTTGTTCAACATTTGACCAAATTAATTAAATGACAATGTATAAATCTAAAACAGATGTTTGATGAAAATATTAATAGAGAATAACGTAAGACTAAATAATTTACCAACAAAGACAAAACTTATTTATTTTCTTTATTCTCTTTTTCTATTGTAAGTAACAATTAGACATAACGACCAATAAGCGTTCATCCAATCGTGTTCCGAATCATTTATAATTTCAACGCTGAAACACAATGACATCTATCACAACAATTTTGTATGGTTTATTGCAACAGTTGTACCATGCATATACGAGTTTTGAATGTGAAACTGAAGAACGAGCAAATTTTCGGAGAATTTACTTCATTCTGCCCTGCCACGACCTAAGTTATATTTTGACTTCCCCCCCGTCCCGCCCCGACCTACGTTAACTTTTGCCTCCCCGCCCCCGCTCCGCCCCGCCAGTCCACCTAAATTCTCTCCCCGCCCCCGCTTCGCCCCGCGAATCCACCGAAATTCTCTCCCCGTCCCCACCCCGTCCAGAAAAAAAGCTCCCCGCCCCGGGGGCTCGCCTTGATTCCCCGCCCCGTTTCGGTCTCTGGTCCCTACCGATGAACTTGTATAAGATTGTTGTTGCATGATCTTGTAAGATATTTCCTGCAAACCATTACTGGATATAGATGTTGGTTTCTTGTATCATATGGGAAATCACCTATCTTGGATTTGGCTCGGAATGCAATCGAGGAAGTTCTTATTTGGCGGTCGCAAAGTGGGGGTGTAACGATTCGTAACGAGAAATTTACAGGGCTTTCGTAATACGAAAGCTCTGTCATCGTTTTTACTACAGGGCTTTCGTAACGAATTTTGACAGGGCTTTCGTAACAAATTCTGACAAGGCTTTCGTATCAAATTTTGACAGGGCTTTTGTATCAAACTTATACAGGGCTTTCGTATCGTTTTTGACAGGGCTTTCGTAATCAAGTTCTTATTGCATTCATAACTAAAATGAAAGACTGGCACTAAAAAGAACAGGGCATTCGTTACGAATACCCATGCTTACAAATATAGCTTAAGTCATTAAGTGGGATCCATTCGTAACAAGTTTTATATACTTAAATGGTCCAAATACATGGTACTATACTGTGAATGAATTATTTGTATACATTCATACATGGCGTTGTTATTTCTAGTTCTCTATGTTTTTCCGGAATTGTGTACGCCTTTTTTTGTGAAAGTTGTTGACTTAAAATCGAAGAAATCAATTATGTGTATTCTTAATTCTATTATCTGGATATTGTTCTCGTTCACTCTTCTCTCTTTATGTATTGCCTGGTTTTTGTTACTTTTTGTTGTTACTAAGAAAGAGATTTACAAGAAGATAAAAATTTGTCTATACTTATATGCTGGTTCTCACTTTCTACTTTTGAACTATTTATGTTATAATTTTGGTAGATCACTAATTTCAATATGAAATCCTGTCAGCAACATCTGACTAAAGATCATACCAAATCCTTTTACGTTACGATAGCCCTGTAAGAACGGTACGAAGATCCTGTAAGACCGATACGAAGACCCTGTCAAAATTGTTACGAAGGCCCTGTAAACTTGATAGGAAAGCTCTTTAAAAAATGATACGAAAGCCCTGTCTAAAACGATACGAAAGCCCTGTCGAAAATCGATACGAAAGCCCTGCTTTTTATAATTTATGCATTTTACATTGTTACGAAAGCCCTGCTTCTTACTGGGCTTTCGTAACCAACCGTTACGAATCGTTACCTTCCCCGCAAAGTTCAAGTCGTCGCAACAGGAAGGCGTAGAAGTTGATCAAATAACCTATTAGGTTGGTAAGAAATTTTTTGCGTTCTTTTTAAATTTCCTAGAACAGCCGAGAAAGCTCTGGAAGCTTCCATACTAAGGGTATTTCGTAAGTCTCGAGGCTTGAGGAAAATTAGTTCTCATATAAAGAAAAAGTACTCTCGAACCCAATGCCTTTATATGAAGTTCGAGTACTCGTGACGCTCTATCAAATGGCGTATTAGGAGATGATATCTACTCTTACAGTAATAATAATATAAACACGAGAATGTAACGATAAATTTTTTGAAATCGATCAGTAATATATTTTGTAAAAAACATTCTTGTTTATCAATTCATATATTAGTTGGATTACATAAAAATGTGATTTAACTATCACGTATCTGTTCGCTATCACGTTTTATCACTTCACCAAGTCGTTTAGGAATTCAATCTAAGACCATGTTTCTGTAAGATGCAGTTGTGGTAGTTGGTGGTCTACCAGACCTTTTTCTATCATCAATTGATCCTCTCGCTAATCAATAATGAATTCTATTCACTAAAGCATGTCGAGTTAAATTCGGTGGATTGTCTGATTGTTCAAAAAAATCTGCAATATCAGGTACAGTCCAGCTAGGATTTGGACGATGCAATAATAATACGAATGGTCGGAACAATCTTTTTTCTTGTAATCGCACTGATTTATGAGACATCAAAATATGTTGAGAACGTCGAAATGAATATCAAGTAGAAAATAATAATCAGATCAAACTGAATTAAAGAAGCAAAAATAAAAGAATAACAGAAATCGACATGTACTTTTTCGATAATTTGTTTTTGCTTGATTCGAATCGATAGGGAAATGGTCAATCGTACAAAACAGTCAATAAACGTTTTAAATAAGAAAAAAAAATGAACACGTTCGATAAAGGGAAAATTCTTTGTTGTGTACACAGCATGTGCTTTTCCGTTACGTACGTGAGGTATTCATATATTTTATCCACTTTCTCAGGTTACTGAACGTATAGCTTAGCTGAACGTGTCATCAGTCACTAACATTGAGCGTCGGATAAACGATTAAATTACCTAGTTATTGGTTTCTGCTATGCTATTTATTTTTTGTAAAGAATATCCAAATTTTTTTTCAAAATATTCTTTAAAAAAGCCATATTGATCGATTTCATAAAATTTATCGTTATATTCTCGTGTTTATATTTGTATTACTGTAAGAGAAGATATCATCTCCTAATACACCATTTGATAGAATGTTATGAGTACTCAAACCTCATATAAAAACATTAGATTCGAGAATACTTTTTCTTTATATGAGAAGGGTGTGGGTGTAGGTGGGGTGTGGGTGTGGGTGGGGTGTGGATGTGAGGTGTGGAAATCATTCTCTTTCTCACACCCACACTCTTAAATGAATTTCGATTGACATTTGAATATCAATTTTGAAATAAATCTATTTGATTTTTATTGAAATATATTAGAGATAAACATATAAAACAAATTCAACATTATATACAAATTGAAATAATCTATTTCGATATAGTAAACAAATAGGTACTCTTCATTTATTATTCTACAGACGACTTCCAGATCATACTATGTTACCATCAAATCAACCTTAATACAAAATTACCATTATCTGTTTATGTATGTTCGTATATAATTTAATCATTGATAAGTCGAACTTATATTTTTGTTAATATTATGTATTAATTAAAGGGTGTTCCATAAGTAACGACCCCATTTTTGTTTTCTTTGTATCTTTGTCGTACAGTCGTAAATAGATATTCAATATAAGATCCTTAAAGAGCGTCATCTAAGCTATCAATCAAAAAAAAATTGTATGAAATTTGCATGAACATTAATAGAGAACGACATTGATAAAAATTTTGAAAAAATTTTGTCAAAGGCATTTTTTAGTTTATCTCTATAAAGAATAACTTTCGCAGTATTTTGTGAATATCTCTCTTATTTTTGTGATAGTTTGACTTAAATTTTTTTTAAAAAGATAACCTGTGAAATACTCTACAAAATCTAATAAAAGATATCTCTTTAAAATGATAACTGGAAAAGCATATCTGATCAGCAGTGCTGCTACACTCCCAAAAGATCCACTTCTGCAGAGACTTTTTTTGCAAAGCTAATTTTTTCTCATTTCCGAAAGAAATATGTTTCATGTCATTCTGAACTATCATTTTGAAGAGGTACCTTTCATTAGATTTTGTAGAGTATTTCACAGGCTATCTTTTTAAAAAAATTTAAGTCAAACTATCACAAAAATAAGAGAGATATTCACAAAATACTGCGAAGGTTATTCTTTATAGAGATAAACTAAAAAATGCCTTTGACAAAATTTTTTCAAAATTTTTATCGATGTCGTTCTCTATTAATGTTCATGCAAATTTCATACAATTTTTTTTGATTGATAGCTTAGATGACGCTCTTTAAGAATCTTATATTGAATATCTATTTACGACTGATTACGACAAAGATAGAAAGAAAACAAAAATGGGGTCGTTACTTATGGAACACCCTTTATAAGCGTCGAATAAATATAATAGCAGAAGTCTAGGTTAAACAAAAGAGAAATTTTTTGTAAATTATTGATTTCATTGAACACACAAAAAACTCTATTAATTTGCAAACTTTGGTTTTATTTGACATGTAATATATGCAATAATTACTTCTAAACCATAAGGAAGATATTTGTTTTTTATTAATGAGAAATTTACAGTATGAATATTTTCCTCTCTTCTCTAGCAATGACGCTTTATTTGAGAAAAACAAAATACAAACTCATTAAATGAAAGACATGTTAATGAAGAAGAAAAAAAAATTCTTGATAGTTCATTATTAATATCATCATCAGATAATATTCTAGTTAAACTGGTTGGACAATTATGTGAACTTACTAAAAAATTCTCGACATTAACATAGAAAGTTTTCTAATATAATATGAAGAATGTTTTATAAATAACGGCCCCATTTGTATGAAGCAAGACTTTTAAAAATGGGATCGTTACTTATGAAACACCCTTTATATGAGAAGGTAGAATGAACGATTTCAAGCCAGATTCCTGATCAGAAACTGACTTTTTTCAAAGTTTTGGTTTGTGGACTTTCCCTGATCCGCAATAAATGTAGAAGTTTTTTTCTGATACCGTAGTTTTGAAGGCAATTTTCATCCTTATAAAATAGAAAATTTCAAAAGGCTTTGGGCAGTGTTCAAC